AAATGGTCTGCCATTCTCGAATTGTGGGCCCGTTGAAGAACAATAGTTTTCAGGTTAGCAGGAACATACAATTTAGCCCCTACCCAAGTCAGTCCATCGTGCCTCCATATTTGGGTGTTTCAAAACAGGTTCAGCTGCAAAGAGTCACTTTAATTTCTCAAAAGCGGCTTGACACTCCATAGTCCAATTCAAAGGCTTACNAAAAACGGTCTGTTTTTCATGAAAATGGGTCCTTTTTTTTTCTTCAAAAAAAGGGCATGCATAGCCTATAGGAGGCTTATAGAGTGCTCCTGGGGGCTGAGGGAGCAAAATTGAGCAAAAAACTACCTGTTTTCCACTCATTTCTGTCCTCCCCAGCCCCCAGAGCACTCTGAAAGGCTCCTAAAGTCTTTGCACGGCCATTTTGGTGAAGGGGGCATGTTTTGGGAGGCAAAAAGTGTATAAGACTCACCCAGATTGTCAGCCTCTTTTTTGAGGGAAAAATGTGTGTCATATACTCTGAAAAATACAGTATTACAGGACAGTAGATGAGGCTCTGGATTTCCAGATTGGGAGCTCTATTACCAGGCAGCCGTACTCACTTGAATAAAAGATTGGATAAATCTAAAGAATAAAATAATATTAATAATAGAAGAACGCGATCTACAATTAAGCTGGCATGCTTCCTTTTGGGATGGGAAAAACAAAATACACATGTCAACTTGTAAAGTGTTGCCATGACTATCATCAGGTTGGCATTGGAGGGAGGATTCCATGCATACCTTTGGCCAGAGTTAGATGTCATATTTCTACTGGAGGTACTGTTCCAAAACAGAATTAGTTTGTTCACAAGCTCTGTTAGTCTGAGGATGGTGGGCGGAGCTTAGCCCCTGGGCAGAGCCAATTAACTTCAGAAACTCCTTCCAGAAGAGGGAGGTGAACTGGACCCCCTATCCGAAATTATGCATTCAGGTATTCCATGCAACTGTTATACATGTGAAATAAACAACTTAGCTAGCGACTTAGCCAATGGGATTTTGGAATGGAGTACAATATGAACTTGTTTGGAAAACAGGTCGGTGATAATCCAGATCGCCAATATCTCCTTCCATGGAGCCTCAGGACGGGCCACACCTTGGAGAAAGCTTTGGGGCTTTCCTGGTGGGCGCTTTGCAGCAGCACAGACTGGACAACTGGCNCCCTGCGCGCGCTCAGCGGGCCACGGTAAAATTATCAAAGGCTGACTGGTCCGCGGCGATAAAAAGGTTGGGGACCACTGTTTTAGAGCATCATTTAAGACACCTTGCAGCACCTCTTGGGTTAAAACTTCTCCAGCTGGTGTAATAATGACTGTAATTTATTTGTCGGGGCTGGAGAGCTTCCAGCCATTGTTTTAAATTGTTTTGAGGCCATTTCTAACCTTCAATTAAGCTTATCTTCCACCAAAGTCCAAACAAACCGCTTATTCCAATTATTACTCTTGTAGCTTGCTAATAAATCAATGCTGTTTTAAGATCTTAAGCTCTGTAGTAGTTTATTAAATTATGATTCAGCCCCGCCTTCAAGACTCTGGCGCCATTTTATCTTCTGTCTCGTTAGTTTTAATAGAAGGAATTTTTAGAAAATGGAGTTAAAGTTTAAATATACCTACAGTTGTAAATTCTCAGGTATTTGCTCTGCCTGCTTTTGGCTCAGATGTAAATCATACGTTGTGCAGGGATGATCGTGAGCTTTGGTTTCTGTGGAAAAGCAGAAAAAGTCCCGGGCGCGGAGTTTGCCGAGTTGCAGGGGGGCTCACACCTTCCACACCCCAGAATTATCTCCTGGGGGGGGGGTTAATAGAGCTCTCCCCAAGCTCAACAGCTTTCCCCTTTCCTCTTCACCCAAGGAAAGGGTTATCAATCTGTCAGACGGCTGATATACTCTGTCCAAACAGTGTAACGTGATCTCGGGGCTGGAGCTACTCAAATGAGCTGCTCTTCAGGCAGCACGAACACCAGAAGCCAACATAAATCAATATTTCTTTGATTAATTATATAAATTATACCAAGCCTTTGGATGATTTTTCTTGTATTAAGCTTTTTCTCTCTTGAATATCATTGATGAATGTTATAAAGGAGAGTGTGCCTACATTGTACACACCAAACAGCATATAACGTTATAATGAAGTTTACAGCTAATAAACTAACACTGTTGTTTTGACAATGTTTATAAATTTTAGGGATGACAAAAAGAGCTTTAAATGCCTTACTTGCTTTTGGAAGTTATATTGTAGGCAACTGATAACACACTTCTTTTTTAATGACCCTGCAATTTAGAAATTTTTTGGTGCTTTCAAAAGTGATTAGCTCAATGTTTAAATTTCCTATAATCCCCATAACATAAGTGGATTCATGTTCTTGCTATTGATACTATCCCCGTGCCTATTGTTGCTCTAAGACAGATAATGCCTTGTTCCATGTATTTGATGCTTCACATGCCATTGAAATAATATGAGTTCTACCTGTTCCAGTGGAATATTTGGTCCTGATCGTTGATCCGTGCAGGAAGTTAAATGAGATCCCTTGCTTCTGATGAACCTTAGGAAATTTCTTTTCATTGCTGTTGTTCGAGAGTCAAATCTTGGTTTTCAAACTCATCACGAGAAAATGCTTGTCCATGGCTTTGATTGAATAAGAGGACTTTGAAGCACCCTTTAATCTGTATTGTTTGTAAATTAGGTGGATTGGTGGGACCATTTCTTGATATAACTGCCTGAACCAGAATAGAATAGTGTGTAGAATCACAATGATCAGCTGTTATGTCTTAATATTTTTTTAAAAAAAACTGATGTGAAAAACATACTGTTTCTTAATTTTTGATTTTGTTATTTCATGGTGCATAATTGCCAGCAAGAGTGCCAGTTTGATGTGGTGGTTAAGGCACCAGGCTAGACATGTTTTAGTTCTGTTTTAAGCTTAGAAGTCAGCTGGGTGACTCTTTTTCAATCCTAAGAAGACAGCAAGGTCAAAGCCTTCTGAAAATATTGCTGATAAAACTGGAAGGAATAATCAGGCAGTTGTTGTGAGCCCTCACTTGCTCTTAAGCTGCAATAAATAAATCATAGAAGATCTTCTTTAAAAGCTTGTATAGAAACTTCATTAAGCTATGTGACCAGAACTCAGACCATTCTAAAATACATGTTTTCTCTGAATTGCATTAGCAGCCCTACTAGTCAGTCGTGACTGCTGAAAAGCAATGTTTAGGTAAGGATGCCTGGTTGCTAAGCAACGGGCAGCAAAGGCTTAAACACTTAAAGCTATAGTGCAAAGTTTTCACTTCAGATGATGACATTTTTGCAGATTACAAATGAGAAGCTGATAGTACTGGATGGTTTTCTCCTTAAATTGCTTTGTGTGTATCTGTGTCTGTATGTCAGTGTATGTTGTATTTACATCAGCATTGCTGTACTATAATGAAGTTTAAAATGCGGGGTGGGGGTGGGGGGGGGTTCCTTGATTCTCTCTGAGCTTGGTGGTGTTCTTGCAGATGTTACATTACCAAACCAGGTAATATCAATTTAAAATTTTGAAATTTTATTACACCACTTGACAAATTAGCATTGTTTACAGATTTTTCTGCTCAGATAGCATAAGAATCCAATCATAGTCTCCCATTGAATCTGGCCATAGTTTCAGACAGGAGAAAAAGGACATCTTTTGTTTTAACAAGATAATACATTTCTGGGTAATGTATTTTTTTTTCATTACTTTCTTTCTGTTCAGAACAGGAAAAATCTTTTCAGAATTTCTAGTCAGGAGAAAGTTACTGTTTTCAAGAAACAATCACAATGTTGAGTAGTTCGTAGAACCAGCAAATGCCACCTCTGACTGGCCCCGCCCCCATCTATTCTCTGCTTCCCGAGTCCCAGTTGATCGGGAGGGAATGGGGATTTCGCAGAAACCTTCCTCTGGAGTGAGGAGGGAATGGAGATTTTACAGTATCCTTTTTGAATCCCACCACTGAATTGATAATCTCTTCCTCGTGTTGTATAACAACCTTTAATTTTTGATATTTGGATGTCAGCACCATTGATTGAGTTGCCAAACTATTATGATGTTACACAGAAGACAGGCATTAGCATGTATAGGAAAACTATGGTTAACACAAATGTAAAAAGGCACACATGCAACCTTCAAGGGGCGGGGGAGTCCCTAATATGGGGAACTCCCCAGCCACTCCAATGACTAAGGAATACTGTCCCAAAGAGGACTGGTTGTGATTTCTCTCAAAATGTAAACCACCTTAGAATGATTATTATTTAGGATTATTTCCTCATAGCCATGTGTTTAGAGGCAGTGGTGATTTTCTCATGAAAGTACCACTCAGTCCTGGTGGTTTTTAAATGAAAAATGATACAGCTGAATTTTCTTAATAGCTTTCAGAGTTGATAACTACTTTAAAAAAAAGGAGATAGAAACTCCTGTGAGTCATGGAAGTGGGTGTGTTTCTGCAGAGAGCAGCTTTCATAACTCACACAGTCCCTTAGCAGAGTCCAAAGAGTAGAAAACTGCTATACACGCTATTTTTTCCGAGAATGTATCATCTGTATTAGTGGTGTTGATGACAGGTAAGCCGCCTGCTTCCTCTAAAGAGAGTTGTGAGTATCTAGCCGGAGTGCCTTCGGAGAGCCATTTTTAAATTTGTTTTGTTGGCTTTTGAAGTTTTTGGGGGGGATTTATGACAGTTCTTTTAAGTGCCTTTTCTTTATACTGTAAGGATAGGTGTAATTCCCATCCTCCATGATCTCATGAGATTTTGGGTCCATCAATGGTAGAATTTGTTAGAGATCTGAATGAAGCAGGAAAAAAGGTGTACAATTTAATATTCTGAGGTTGATTTTGAAGAAATATTTCTTTAAAAAAAGTGTGTACATTTGCCTCTGCTATGCCTTTTAGAAGAGTTTAAGTTATAGCTATGAAAGTAGTTTGCAAAAAAGGAAAGGTGGGAGGAGAAAATATTTCACCCTTCATCTTTCAAAGATGTGCTCCTCTGATGGTGCCAGTTGTTTTATTCCAATGAGTACATTGGGTCGGAAAACAGATACTATCAGAAAAGATATTCATGGGGAAAGAACAGGTAAGTAACAAAATTAAGTGCCTCTTGTTTAGGTTGTTTTGCATTAAAGAAACAAGTTTTTCACTTTGTTAAGTTTTAAGAAGTTGCTTGTCCTGCATTTTCGGTTGTGCAACTCTATCCTTATAGCAAATAAGGGTACATTACCAGTAAGAATTTATAATTTTGACTACAATTGCTTATTTTAAAAAAATGCCTGGGCAGGTGATTCGATAATACCTATTCAATAGATTCAAGGTTCTCTGTGATATATTTCATACATAGTAATCTACGCAGTTTTTCTTTTATTGCTTTTAATCTGTTTTGTTTTGTTATTTTGTGCTTTCTATATTTCCTGGGCTTAGAATTGTGACTGCAAGTTTTTAGACAGAATATTTTTATAGCCATATAAAAATAACACAATGGATACAATGCAGATTGATCTTTACATTTTTACATTTACATTTTTCAATTAGGTACTTCCTTTTGTAGGATACCTTTTATTTATAATTAGCTCCCTTGATATTCAAATAAAGTTTAGAAATGGCACCAATAATACAGAGTCTCAAATATTAGGACTTGTGAAGTTTATTTCTGTTCAAAATATACTTTCAGAGGATACTGAAAGGATAGGCTTGCACAAATAGGGTTTTGTTTTTTAAGGGAAGAAATCCAGTAATATTAAACAAAGGCAATAATTGGCAGTGACCAGTACCAGGATTTTGCTGGAACTCATCGAATTTGCAATCAACACCAAGCTGGCAGGAATAGCCAATACTCCAGCAGATAAATTCAAGATACAGAAGGATCTTGACAGACTTGAACACTGGGCTTTACCTAACAAAATGAAATTCAATGTAGAGAAAAGTAAGCTTTTACATTTAGGCAAGAAAAACCAAATGCACAGGAATATTCTAGGTGATACCTGGCTCAACAGCAGTGAAAGGGATTTTGGAGTCGTAGTGAACAATCACTTAAATAGGAGCTATCATTGTGCTGTAGCTGCCAAAAAAGCCAACACAGTTCTGGGCTGCATTAACAGAGGGATAGAATCAAGATCACATGAAGTTCTAGTACCACTTTATAATGCCTTGGTAAGACCACCGTTGGAATATTGCATCCAGTTTTGGTTGCCATGATATAAAAAAGATGTTGAGACTCTAGGAAGAGTGCAGAGAAGAGCAACAAAGATGACCAGGGGGTTGGAGGCTAAAACATATGAAGAACCCTTGCAGGAATTGGGTGTATCTAGTTTAATGAAAAGAAGGACTAGGATGATATGATAGCAGTGTTCCAATATCTAAGGGGCTGCCACAAAGAGGAGGGGGTCAACCTATTCTCCAAAGCATGTGAAGGCAGGACAAGAAACAATGGATGGAAACTAGTCTAGAATTAAGAAGACAATTCCTGACCGAAAATTAACCAGTGGGACAGCTTGCCCTCAGAAATTGTGGGTGCTCCAATACTGGAGGTTTTAAAGAGATTGGACAACCATTTGTCTGAAATAGTATAGGGCAATGTTCAAGTGCCAAAACGGGAGCGTGCATAATCTTCCGGATTCCGGTGCGCATATTGTCATGTGTGCATGCATGCCAGAAATTGGAAACCAGAAGAGCAGGCATGCACATGCGTTCTGGACGACTGCTCTTCCAGTTTGGGCCGCTCTTCCAGTTTTGGCCTCTCCTGTGCATGGGAAGATGGTGGATGGTGGATGGTGTGTCAGAACCTGGAAGAGCAACAGGCGACAGCTCATGTGCCCAGAGAGATGGCTCTGTGTGCCACTTCCAGCATGTGTACCATAGGTGTGCCATCATGGGTACAGGGTTTCCTATCTGAGCAGGGGGCTGGACTAGAAGGTCCCTTCCAACGTCCCTTCTAACTCTGTTATTCTGAGTTGTGAGAAACTATTGTATATTCCAATCTGGAATATACAATATGTGTACATGCAGCAATATTATAGTTTGCATATGAAAATGTCATAATCTATTTAACAATGTTAGTTTTAGTTTATAGGAAGATGCCAAGAATTAGAGCACTAACCAGATCTAACCACTCCCGCAGAGAGTGTGTATATATATTGTTGGAAACCTTCATTGCCTGTTCAGTTACATTTTTCACTCTGCTAGAGAGATTTGGAAGGGATTTTGAACTGCAGAAACATAATTTCTCTCTGCTATTCACTAAAAGAGACACAACTTTTTTCAAGCCTTTGAAAAGATGTGACCTTTTCAACCAATTGCAGAGCTGTGTTACATTTTCAAATTCTGAATAATTTTTGAAGTATATATAACCCTCCTGTCCATGCCTAATGTCCAAGGTGCATTTTTCTTAAACAAATTTTATCGTATGCTTCAAAGACTTGTTTCCCTTTTTTCAAATAGCATTTGAATTTGTTTTATGTTAAGTATTTTTTTTAATTAGTTATAAATAGAGGAACCTTTGGGAAAGAAAACACAGAAATATGCCAATGAATTGGGACACTTAATATTAGAACATCCTCAAGTGGATACTTGTCCAATATTTAACAGAAAGACTTCCAAGAAGCAACGGTGATTAGTCTTTGTGGGCCCCATGGGAAAAAACTCTTAATGCTGCTTCTCTGTAATTTAGAACTTCAGACCCAAAGTCATGTTTTAATTTCATTAACCTCATTAGAAATAGCAGCTGCTAAATTATGTCCCATTAACTGGAATTAAATTTTAGCATTCCTGATTTTCTTTGGATTTGTGACAGTATTTATAGAATCATAGGACTGAAAAGGTCTTGGAGGTCTTCTAGTCCAACCCCTTGTCTAAGGTAGGAATCCTTATACTATCCAAGACAAATGGAAGTCCAATCTTTTCTTGAAAACCTCCAGTAATGGAGCACCAAGTTCCACGTTGGATCTCCCTCTGACCATTGGATCTCCCTCTTCATCCATTGCTTCTTGTCTGGTACTCGGGTACTTTAGAGAACAAATTGATCCAGTCCTTCAGGTATTGGAAGACTACTATCCTGTCATCCCTAAGCCATCCCTTTGTTAGGCTAAACATACTTAGTTCCCTTAGCTATTCATCATTGGTTTACCCTTATATTTGATGTTCTTCTCTGCTCTCTTTCTATGGTGTCAGCATGAGTTTTTTTGTATTGTAGTGTCCAGAACTGGACAAAGTATTCCATGTGTGGCTGCATCAGTGCAGTATGCAGCAGTACTGTACTATCATTTATTTGTGATTTTGATGCTATCCCTTTGTTGATGTAGCCTAGGACTTCCTGGGCTTTTTTGGCAGCACACTGCTGTCTCATACTTAAGTGGTGGTCTACTACGACATCTAGAACCCCCTCACATGTACTACTGTTGGGTCAGGTACTGTCTGTGCACTTGGTTTTTCCTGCCTAAATGCAGTACCTTACTTTTCTCACCACTGAACTGCATTATAATGGAATCTTGAGGTATCCCACTACATTCTTTCTTTCATGTAGAGATAGTTCCAGTAAGAACCACATGGTGATCCATCTGGTAGAAGTACTGTCTATCCCACATTGTTCTCTTACCAACAAGCAGGCTGTCATCTACTTTGTCAAATCCAAGTTTACTATACATATACTATACACAGTGCTTCCTTGGTCCACTAATTTAATCATTTTATCGAAGAAGGTAATAAGATTTATTTGGCGTGGTCTGTTTTTAGAAACCCATGCTGACTTTTCATAATCATCTTGTTCATTTCTAGATTCTCAGAAATTTACTGCTTGCTTAACTTTTCCAGGATTTCCCCAGATTTTGGTATGCAGTTTCATGGATCCACTTTCCCCGCTTTTTTTGAAGATTGGAATCACATTAGCTCTTTTTCAGTCTTCTGGCAGAACCCTCTTGTTCCAGGAGCTCTGAAAGATTCAACATGGCTGGCTGAGGAATTTTGGGAGTTGAAGTTCACAAGTCTTAAACTTCTCTATCTTCTTTCAGTCTGTCTTAGATTTGCTAAACTTGCTCTGTACTAGATACTTCAGTGGCAACACATAGTTCATAAAGACAACTCCTAAAAACAAGAAGACAGGAAAGTGGAGAACCTGCAACCCAAAGTCCATGTGGTTACACCCCCATTCTCATAATCAAGTCTTGTTCTTTAGTCTTTGTCTAGATTTCTGTCCTTTGAGCAAACAGCTAACTTGGCTTCCCACAGTGTAGGAAACTCAGGCAGAGGAACCACAATGAGCCAAAGCCGTTGCCTACTTGGCAGAATATATCTTGATGATCTGCAAAATAGCAGTGGATTGGCTCAGCCTGAAAATCCTCTCAGGCTTGGTGTCAAGCTTTCAAGCCTGATACTGACTAGTGAATGTGATTAAGTTTTGTGCAAAGAGAAGCAATCTTACCAATGACAACCTTCAATCTTCAATGTCAGGCTTACCAACGGCCTTAACAAAGAACTACAATCAAACAGACAACTTTGAGTCTTCTCCTTGGTCTCTTATTGGGAAGCAATAATCATTCTCTCTGCTCATCCTCATATCAAGAAGTTCTTCAGAGGGTCTGCATACTAAGGCAAACTAGTATACACTAGTACCTGTCATAGAATGATGCCCTAGCCCAACTCCATGCTCAAAACCTTGCATGAGTCAGCCTCAAAGCATCTGGCATGGAAAGTGGCCATAACCTCTGCTAGGTAGGTATCCCAGATAAGAGTGCTCTCTGCCAAGATTTTTGGTAGAGATGATCACAAAGCAAATCTTTGCATCTAAGTTGAATTTGGCCTCCCACCACAGTCAGGAAATGACCTCCTCATCTATCATAATTCTAAAACTGAGTTAGAATATTTGAAATATTGAATAGTACTCCCAATCTCCTAGATTCCTTCCAGCAGTCTTCCCATAGAGGTGTAGGGCCTCATGATCTCCAGGTGAGTCAAGGCCTGCCTCAAACTAGCCTATGAGGCCCAAAACAAGTCTGTTTCACAACAAAATGTAGCACATTCCATTAGAAAGATACACCTTCCTCACCCCCAGGAGACAGGCAACTAATAGAAATCTTTTCAGAACACACT